GAGCTACAGGACCACAGTCTTCAGCTCCTCTGTTCCCAGGCTCTTCCCTGCCTTATTCAACTTGCAAGGCTCAACTTGGGGCTCCCACCAACCCTGAGCACTGTGCTCCATTCTGTAGACTGTTCCCCTACTGTTTTCTGGAGATTGAAGTCCCCTGTCTGGGGTATTAGGAAACTATGGAGAGGAGAAAGGCAGAGGTAGGGCTGTGTTCTTGCTTCCTGCTGCTGGACAGGGCAGACCTGGAAATCTGAGACAGAGGCTGAACGGGCTGGAGGGAGGAAGCCTCTTTTTACCTCTCCTACAATGGGAATGGTGGCCCTGTTTGCAGGAAAGATGGAATGGACTGGACTGTTCTTCAATTTTAGAGGCCAGGCCCAATTCCTCACTAAAATACCAGGAAACAGCGGTTGGGGATTTAGCTCAGTGGTACAAGTGCCTTCCTGGCAAGCACAAGGTACCAAATACCTTAAATAAATAAAAGAATAAATAAAGAAAAGAAAAGAAAATACCAGGAAATAGGCAGAAAAGATGAAAATTCATACCATCTCCACTGAAACCCTGTTGACAGGCTGGAATGCCTGAGATCCTGAGACACCCTGGGTGCAGACCTTGGAGCCTCAGGAAGGAAGAGTCCAAAGGGTCCATTTAAACAGCCCAGAAGCTCACTTACAAAGCAAGACCCAGCTCACTCAGCCACTATGACGAGGCCCAGCCACTCCTCCAAGGAGATAAACATGAAAATAAGAGCTGGCTCTAGCACAGGGCATGCAGGGAAAGCCCTGACCTGCTGCAGAGGGACCTGGGGCCTCCGCTGATTCCCCCTCCCGTGAGGCTGCCTGGCGCTTGACAGTGTTTAATGAGGAGGTTCCTACGGAGGCCCTGCGAGGCTGTGGGAGGCAGGCAGGCAGCCAGGAGGATCCCAGAAGATGGGAGTGCTGCAACTGTCAGGCCTTGTGCTGGTGATGTAATGCCTAGCCAGGGTCCCAGCAAAACAAGGCCGGTGTTGTCACTGCCCTCCTGGCAACCAGGCGCTGCCCTCCCAACAGCTCAGCTGTTCTGCACCATCACTGACTCCCTTCCTTTCATGGCAGGAGATGTGAAAAACCTGCCTTGTCACACTCAAGCCAAGCCGAGATATAAGAAATGTCTTTTGAAATGTGTCTTGCTGAAGAGGGATTTCCATAGCAACTTCAGAAGTGTGTGCATACAACTGGAGAGAAGTCCAGGCTGATGAAAGCCTCCTGGAACGCGAACAAGCTCTGCTCTGGGTATCAGCAGCCCTGGGTTTTTCTAGAACCAGCCATGCTGCTGTATGGCGACCCTTGGGCAAGTCACCTACCCTCTCAAATGTGACAGGGGACAGACTCACCATCAGATCAGTCTAAGAGAGACCAAGGCCATCTTCTCCAGACCATGCTTCTGTCCTGGCCCCTGCTTTACCTCCCAGTGCATCTCTTGCTTCCTGTTTCTGGCCAGTCTCTGATTGAATAATTCCTGTCTCAAGGTGTCTGCTACCAGTCTTATTTATTATTTGACATTGGGAAGGATAAGAATGATTTAAGCTTGAATCTAAAAGAAACTGGTAGGTCTTTGTAAGAGAACTGCTTTGCCAGATTAGAGAAAAACTGTATTTAGAAGTGTTATCATTGTTCTGTAAGTCAGATTCCTGCACAAATCTGAGATGCTAACAGTCAGGAGCAAAAGGTTTATTGGGGCTGTTACTGGGGTGCAAAAGAAGTAGGACTGTGTCTTGGAAGACATCTAAATTTAGTGGTGATAGAGGCCCAAGACAGCACCTCAGCATCCCAGATTCATCCTGTTGGAGCTAAAGAGTCTGATCTATAAAGTCCTCCACTGCCAAGTCCATGGTTGCCTGCTGCCCTGGGCAACTCCCTTTAGCCAGAGCAGCTCTCTGAGGAGGACCAAGCACCAGCAAAGCCCCACAGGTGAGGGATGAGACTTGAGTCCTGTGGGGGAGCCAGGGTAGTGCCTTGGTGGTATCTGTATCAGACATGAAGTTAACCCAGGGACACTGTGACCAAGTAGCCAAGGGCACAGACATCAGAGGCAGACAAAAGAGCAAGGCCAGATTTAAGTGTCAATCTCAGTGGCCTAAGCCAGGCAAATTGCTTGGAGCATCTGGGCCACAGGTCCTTGGCAAGGCAGGATCCAGCCTGGTTGATGACACAAATATGAAGTTCAGGGTCAGAATCAGTTCACATGCTGGGCACTTACTGGTTCTGGGACAGCTGTACTGCTTTACATTAGTAAACTCTACAACAGGGACATCAAGGTACTTCTGTCTGTTGTGAGGGCCAGCAAGAATGAGACAAAGCATTTTACAGTGTGCTTGAGAAAAGCAGACACACCGACAACATCCATGGTACTTGTACACCATAGATCCCTCGTATCAAAGCTGAAGACTTTGAACCAAATGGTCTTTCCCAAGAAGAAAAAAGATTTCAGGAGAATTTCTGGCTTATTCTTTCTATCCCTGAGCCATTAACTTGAATTTAACTAGGAAAAAAAGACCTATACTTGCAGAGAGAGACAGGCCTAGTATCCTAGGGGGCACCCCGGCCAACAAGGGTCATTTGATAGCAAAGTAGAAGGACATATTTGGCAAGCCACACACTTGGAAACTGGCTTATTTTCCAGTCAAAAAGATAGTCTCCCATATTTGTGACAGTTATAATAATCAATGAAACTGGGGCTGGGGATTTAGCTCAGCGGCATAAGTGCCTGCCTTGAAAATGCGCAGTCTTGAGTTCGATCCCCGATATGGATTAAAAAGTAAAAAAAATTTTAAAAACTCATAGGGCCAGGGATTTAGCTCAGTAGCCTAGGCCCTGCTTGGCAAGCGTTAGGTCATGTGTTCGATCCCCGTACAATAAAAAAAGAATCAATGAAACTCATACTTTGTTGCCTATTCAGCCTGGTTGATTGTCTAAAAATCCAAGCCAAAGAGGGTTAATTTGAAGACAAGGAAGACTTCAAATACTTTGAAGGACTATGCAAATTCAATATTATTATTACTGTCAGAAAAGTTGGCTCTATCAATTAAAAAGGAAAGCAAAAATAGTATTAACCAATAAATGATAGGAATTGGTTCTAATTATAAGAAGAAAGCCATAAAATTCCCAAGAATTATGCGGGAACCTAAGCTATTACTATTATTATTAATTTCCATTACCACTATATTGTCATACAGTACATGCACATTATCTTGTCTGACACTAATAATAAATCCTATAGCACAGATATTGTTCCCAGCATACAGATGTGAAGGTTGAAGTCCAAAGGAAAAGTTATTGGCGCAATCTTGCTGAGCTCAGCGGGCATGAGGAGTATGGATGGGAAGCCAAGCACAGGCTCCCCCGCTGTGGGAGAGAGCTGCTCACCAGGGAAGGCTGGGTCAGGTCACAAGGGCAACATGGTCCCACCTAGAGCAGATGCTGTGACAGCAGCTGCTGAGCACAGTAGGCTCTGAATAGTGCGTATAGTGTGGCCCCGGGCTCCATGTATAGGACAAGCCTCCCAACACTGTGTCAGTCTTTAAGGGTCCTTGGCCTGGCCCAGAACACCCTCTCTGTCAGACCACAAACCTGAAAGAAATATCCAAACTAGCAGTCATCTCTAAACAGGTAGGAAACATGGCTCGAGAGTACCCATAGGAGGTAAATCAGGCCAACTCTGCTCTTTGTCTTGTCTTATATCTGCTGGAACACTGAGGGTGTGGAAGATTTGGCAGAGAAATTATGTAGATGAACTCAGGACAAACTACTAGGATCTGTGACATTAGGATGATTTACATGCCTTCTGCCATGACAAAACTCTGTGCAGTGAACATATCTTCACTCTATTTTAGGCGACCTTCACTTTAAAGTAACTCACCCTATATCTCACAGTCTTAGGGGCAAAATCTATGTTACTAAGGTCAGACTCCACTTGTAAAACCAGATTAATTAAAATGAACATCCAGCTGGATGTCATGACACATGCCTGTAATTCCAGCACTCAGGAGAATGAGGCAAGAGGATTGCTGCAAGTTTGAAACCATCCTGGGCTACAAAGTGAGCTCAAAACCAGCCAGTGAGACCCTGTCTCAAAACAACAAAATATAAAATAAAATGAACATCTAGGGTCCAGCTTGACAAAGAGAGGAATCAAAAGGGAAGCTTAAGTGTGGCTACAGAAGGAAGTAGCAACAGTCCTGACTTGGCTGTCCTGAGAAGCTGGCATGATGGTCCCCAACTCTGCTCTCAAATTGGCCACACCTCCCTTCTCTCCCTTTAGCCACTTTTCTGAATCACTGTCTAGCTATCAGCCTCCTACTGGTAAAATATTTCCCAAAGTCTGTCCCGTGGGTACAGTTTCTCAAACTTGAAAGTGAGTGCAAATCATGGTGTCAGCCTGCTACAATGCAAATTCCAATTCCAAAGTTCTAGGCTTAGGCTGGGGACTCTGCATTCTAACAAGTCCGTGGTGACAATGATGCTGCTATATAGAACGGACTTCCAGTTAGCAAGATATCAACAGTCTTGTACAATGAAAAGGGTTATGGGCAAAAAATTTTGAAAAAAACTGGAGTAAACAAAAGCAAACAGGTTTCATTACCGAAGGACTTCCTAGAGCCTCAAAACACTAGGGATCATTAATTACAAGGGAGCCATAATAAGGAAACTGCAAAGGGTTGTACATGAGTAAAGATTAATGGTACAACAAAAAGGCTTTGATGGGGGTTTGCAGAGATGGAGCAGAAAATCAGGAACATTGTGTGTATTTTTCCCAGTTTACCTTGTCTTCAATATTTCCATGTTCCAGCTCATATTCGGCTCCAGTTCCACCCTCCTCTCTCCCATTTTTTCTTGGATATGCTTGTCCCTGCATCAGACCATATACCTCCAGCATCTCTGCGCCTCCGCCCTTCCCCGTCCCAGCTGGAGCTAGTGGCCCAGGAGGCCCGGGACAAGGACAGCGAGCTGCCCCCGCGGGAATACCTTTCGCACACGCGCACCGTCCAGGCGGCGATGATCCACAGCGAGATGCTGAACACCAGCAGCACGGTGCCGGGGCAGATGGTCATGAGCGTCTTCATGACGAAGCGGGTGTTGAAGTTGATCTTGTTGAGCGCCCCTATGCTTCTCGACGAGGCGTCGGTGAAGAGCTTGCTGTGCAGCAGCATGACGCGCGCGATCAGGTACAGGCGCAGGAACATGGGAATGGACAGGATGATGTCGACGTCGGCCTCCGCGCGCGACGGCGCGTAGGAGAAGGCCAGGCGTGCCGTCCAGAAGAACTTGTACTCACCAGGAATGGGGTGGATGGCGCACACCAGCATCTCCAGGCTGATGTAGAGGATGCGCTCGTAGGTCATGGCTATCCGCCAGTCATCCGCGCCATTGTCGATCACGAAGAGCTGTGGAGCAGAGAACCTGTTAGTGTGGCCAGGAGTGGACCAACAGCAGCATGAAGGGAGGCAGGGCAGCGTGGGCCGGAGGTGGTCAGCCTGAGCCTCAGGGCCGCCTCAGCAGAGCACTGGATGGGCCCAGCCTGGGGCGTGGGGTGCAGGGCCAGGAGACCCTGGCTAAGACACATTCCCTTTCTGGAACTCACTTCCCTCTCTGGATATTGTGATTTATAATAAGAAATGATATATTTGGTCTTTGATCTGGTTTAGACACATGACCACAGAAACCCTAGGAAGGAACCGGCTGGTTATATAGCTCTATATTATTCCAGGACGAGCCCCAGTCCTTCCACCCCTCACACACATCCAGTATGGAGATGTCCAGAAAAGTGTCTGTTGAATGCTAGTGCAGTGGCTGCTGGCTGGGCCCTCTGGACAGCCTCAGGCAGAGCTGAAGCCAGGAGAATCTGCTTTCAGACCCACCCTTTCATCGCCTAGAGGGAGCAATGGTCAGTGGTCAATGATTTAATCAGTCATGCCTATGCAGGAAGGCCCAGAACACCTCAGGGCAGAATGGGGGGGGGTGCAGAATGTGGAACACACAAAGGTGCTAGAAGATGGCACACTTGGAGAGGTCATGAGAGCTGTATGCCCTGGAATATCCCATGCACTGCACACCTCTATCTGCCTGCTGGTCAGCATTCTTGGAACAGCCTCTGTCACAGGCAATAAGCGTGTTCTCCAAGCATTGTGAGCTGCTGTAGCAAAGCAATCAAATCCAAGAATGAAGTCATGGATCCCTGATTTACAGCCAGTTAATCAGAACCACAAGCAGGGGCCTCCGAAGTGGGAGCAGTCTGGGACTGGCCCCTTAACTGTAGCATCTACTGCCAACTGCAGGCGCAGTGTCAGATCTAGGTAAACTATAGGGCACCCAGTTGGTGTCCCTTGAGTACTGCATCCCCGAACCCTCTATCCAAGGGCCCAGGAGAGAGACCCTGTACTGCCAGACATATGGCCTCGGAGAGTAAATCAGGTGCCATCAAGGGAACCCCACTACATCCGGCACCAAAGAAGCCACATGATGTGGACATGAGTTCTCGTTGCTACCTGTGTACAGCAAGGGCAACTCTGAAAGGTCCCCGAGGCAAGGACAGCTAGTGAAGGGCGTAAGGGGGGAGATAGCTAGGCTCTAACTTCATCATGCCTCAGTTTCCCCTTCTCTCTGCCCTGTGACTGTATAAAGCCATAATGAGTGCTAAAGTGCTCTGTAAGCTACAGAAAATCATTCATGTGTTCATCCATTCATTCATTCATTCAACAGATGTGTTGAAGACTCTCTATCTGCTGGTAAGTGAGATTTGGGATGGAGCATGGTGCCCATGATGTGGAAGTAGAGATCACTATGGGAGCGACTGGCTGAGGGGCCTAACCTCACCTTTCTGATTAGGGCACCAAACAGGAGAGGACTCCAGCTCAGCACCAGAGGAAAACAGCCCTCCTCCTTCCCCAGTGCAGGAGCCTGGGTTTCCCCTGTCAATTAGAGAGCCCTAATGACCATGCCAAGGGTTTCCTCTGCCGCCTGGGAATCAAAGCCATACCAACGTGACTGTCTGGTCAGAGTCTTCAAACACAGAATTAAAAACCATCCACCCTGTAATAAAGAATTATATCCAGTTGCTATAGTAACTGGGTTCACTCAGGGCAGGAACTGAAGCAACGAGCAACTGATACCTCTGATTGCTCGATGGGGAACAACAGCCTGTGCCATCTTAAGGAAGGCTGGGCACCAGCAGCTCTGCCCAGCTTGACAGGAGGCCACAGGTCCAGGGCTGTGTCCCCACCTGCCTCTGTTTGGGTTTCCTGGCACAGGACAGGGAGCATGACACGGGGAGTGGAGCTGGAGGCTGGTGAGCCAGACTGATGTCTCCCTCTGCCAGCTGTTAGCTGACATCTCAGGCTGGTGACTTCTCACACTCTGATTCCCACGTCTGTCACGGGAATATTGACCTTGATCCTGTCTGTCCCACTGGATCAGTGCCAGCTCCAACAGCCCATCCAGATAATAAGTGGGACTACTCCAAAAATGTGAGGGACCATTAAAGTGTGTGTGTGTATGGGTGTGTGTGTGTGTGTGTGTGTGTGTGTGTGTGTGTGCACGCGCGCACATGCACAGAGTTGTTTAGGGAAGGAAAATCAGGTTGAATTCAGGTTGAAAATCAGGTTGAAAATCAGGAAGAAATCAGGTTGAAAACCAAAAGCTCCTCCTAGATGTGGCCCCACTTTGCAGACCTGCAGAGTGGAGAGTGGGTGATTTTCCAGAAAGCCCCATGGCTGTCTCTAAAGAGGACACTTTTCTGATTGCTGAAATTACAGCACCCCACATAGGGCCTTGCGCCCTTCAGATTCAGAGCAGGTGACGGGTACCCATCCTGCTGCTTTCTCACTCAGCTCCTGACCATTGCTTGTGAAGAACAAATCTTAATGACATATTTGTTTGTTTTTACCTGTTTTTTTATTTGTTTCTTCATTTAGACTAACAGTTTTCAACCTGGTAGCCTGAGTGAATTACTTAGAGGGTGTTTTTTTAAAAAATCCCCATGTCCTTCCAGGACAACTTGGACTCTAGCTCAAAAAAAGGAAAAAAGATACCAAAGACTCCCCATATTCAGGCCCACCTCAGACCAAGTGTGCTTGCATCTCTGAGGGTGATGCTCTGGCACTGGGATTTTTTCTTAAGACTCTCCAAGTTACTTTAAAATGTATCCAAGGTTGGGACTTCCCAATCACAGTGGAAGCCCCAAAGGGACAGGACTGTGGAGCATCCTTGTTCTCTGTGTTATCTCTAGCGTCTAGCCAAGATGGCTGCCTGTGGTAGGTGTTCAGTAAATGCTTATGTAGTGAATTAGATTGCCCCTGACTGCGTGACTCTAGACAGTTAATCTCTTAACCTCTGTTTCTTCCTCTGAGGAGTGAGAGGACAGATTAGACAATTCCTGCAGGGCCACCCACTCTGAGGAGCCATACTTGGGTGGCTCTGCACAGACTCTCTGGTGCCTCCCACCTGGCATGTGTTCTTGGTGCACAAGAGCCCTCTTGGGATGGGACCCACACCTGGTTCCTCCTGCCTGTACCAGCAAGGGTGCCTGGCATGCTGTGGGTGGTCAGCTGAATTCTGGTGAATAAAAGGGTGGGAAAATAGGAGACTGTGTTAGATGAAGAACAGGACAGATTGGCTCTTGCTAGCCACAGAATGGAAACTCCAATAGGAAAGACCTGATGACTCATTAGTGCAATGGAAAAGGATACCTCCTGGTCCAGTTTGGAGTAACCATTCCCAATAATTGCTAAGACTTAGAAAGAATCTGGGCCAGCGAGGTGAGGGAAATTGTGTACATGGTCCTGCAAGGACTGTCTTCCCCCAGGGTTTGGTCTGTGTTGCCCAGCTTTGGTTCTAGAACAACATGACTTTGACCTTGTGGAAAAGTACTGAGCACCAAGGACAAAACTTGGCACGGAGCAGGGAGCATCAGGGTGCCCTCAAAGAAAGAAGCCGCAGAAGCCCAGCGCTGATAGGCGTCCCCCTGACTGGCTTCTCTGAGAGGGAAAGACAGTTTCCCAGTTGTTCGATCTTTCTGCCTCCTCAGCCTAAAATGGCAATGCACTCATTGAGGGCATCGTCAACCTGCCAAAGCAGCCCTCTGCACCAAGCTGTGGGCTCCTGAGAGTCCTCTCTTTCATCAGATAGTACCTGAACAGAAGTGGCTGAGATGGAATCTTTCTGCTACCTCACCAGAGTTCTGAAAGCCTGCAGGATTTTCTGTGCAATAATCTCATCCCAAGAGCTTTGGGAGGGAGATTTTACACAACAAACTGATTCCAAATTTACCATTAAGGAGCTTGTAATTAGGGGAAAGAATCAACTCCATTCAACTCAACTCAGTTCAATTCAATAAAACAATCAGTAAGAACCAACTAGGTTAGGATACTGCTGAGACATAAATATGAATGGAACACACATCCCACGATTCAGCTTCATAATCTCAAATGGTCCTTGAAGCAGAGAGGCAGGCTGAGGCCAGAAAGCTTCCTGGGCAAGACAGGGCTTCAGCTGCACCTGAAGCAGGTACCAGACACACTTGGTATGTAGCTCACACAATTGGCCATAAATTCCTCCCTTTGTCCACTCGCTTCTATATGTGTGACTCTGGCTCCCCATGTAGCAAGAGATGCCGTTTGTTTCCCAACCACTTGAGTCTACACCTGCCCCTGTGTTTTGGCCCATGGAAAATTAGAAAACAACGCAGTGGAGCTTTGAAAAACGCCAATGTCATGGATCTCACTGTAGAAACAGGGCCTCCTTGTCCCTGTCACCAGCCCATAGTGAATGACAGCTGCCAGCCATTTAAGCAAGTCTATCCTGGACCAGCTTTGTGACAGCGCCCCCCATAGGTGAGGCCAGGGGGTAGAATCATGAGTTTAAAGATTAATATTTTAAGCCATTAAGTTTGGGGATCTTCGTTACACAGTAATACTAATCTATACCAAAAAAATAACACCCTTAGCACAGGTGTTAGAAGTTGAGCAGTGTGCCTACCATACCCCCAAGCTCCCCTTTAGATCCTCCTGCCACACCCCCTTAGAAGAAATCTGTGCCTCTCTCTGCCCCCATGTTTTCTGGTCATTGGAAGACTGTCTTTCTCAAGTGGTTAGGTAACTAGACAGGGAAGGGACCACGGCCAGGACCTTTCCAGCCTCCCTCACCCACATCCACTCCATGAACACACACATAATTTCAGATACCAAAGAATAACTCCAAGCACTTAAAAAATTATTTTACAAGTAGTTGAGTTATTTTGCATATAAAATATTTTCCCAGACATGAAGAATTCACTGGCAGACAGAATCAAGGAACAAAGGCAAAATAGAATTTATGGAGCAGGAGGGATAACTACACAGAGTCTGGGAACAGTGAATCTTGTTTGTTGGCAGATTTGGGGAATAAATTG